AACAGAGGTGAAAATGTCCATAATCACAGACTGGTCCGGGTTTGCCTCTGAAATGACAGGCAGTTTTGTAAAATCACCATAAATTGTAGAAAAATCATATGGGATGTGCAAGTATCCATTTTAAAGCTAAGAGTTTGAACTACTTGCACCTGGAACAGTTTTGAAAACTAAAATATTTAAGTTGACCAAAACAGTCCGTGATTAAAGTCCATCTTTTCTGATGTAATCTGTTAGAAAAAGTTTAATTGTGTTCTTGATGATTTTACTTGTATTCCCCCCTTAAAACTTAAGAAAACATGTAAATGTAGGGGTATGAACTCACCTTATGTGGTTTCAGTAGATGAAAGTGAGAGAGAGGAAGTGTTCAACCCAAGAACACTAAGAAGATGTCTTGATGATTCGAGAATCTAACACCGAATAAGATGGAACTTGTGTAAGATATCAATGATTTGAGTAGAATGGAGTTTAATAATTATGTGAATGATGAAGATACTTACTAATTGAAGAAAGAAATCCCTGGAGAAAGCCTTGAAGTTCTTGAAGTTGAGAGAGAAGATGAGAGAATTTTGGAGAGTGTTCTTGGTTGCTAAATGTAGAATGAAAGAATTTTATGGAGAATGAGGAGAGAGGATCAATCCTCCAGCTCTTAGAACGTGGGAAGAGCTGGAAATTGGGTGTAAAGGTCCACTAAAGAGACAAGGGGTAGTGGGAAAGAGTGGCTAATCATAGAGTGAGGTGGTGGTGGTTTGCTTTTGCCATAAATTAAGGAAAAGCAAATATTCCCTCAATAATTAGTTCAACTACTAATTCTTTTAATATATTTTATAAAAACCCTGGAGATTTATATATTTTGGGGCCTTAGTTTATAAAATAAAGTTTTGGGTGAAAACCCCACGTTAAAATAATGAAAAACGGAGTTAAAACGAAGTCGTAGTCGAAAACCGGGAGAAAAAGCTGAATCTGCGAAGTTGCTCGGTCCTGGGCCGAGGTTCGGACCTGAGGCTTCGGACCTGAGGCTTCGGTCCTGAGGCTTCAGTCCGAGGCTTCGGTCCTGAGGCTTCGGTCCGAGGCTTCGGTCCTGAGCACTTCGGATGCGAGGCTTCGGTCCTGAAGCTTCGGTTTTGGGTCCTTAAGGCTATTTTACCCGTTTTTACCCCGTTTCAAGTGGTTTTTGACCCGGTTAAGGGTCGTGATGACCCGAATGATTACAAAAAGTTAAAGGAACTTTTGAGAGAGATTTGGGAGAGATTTCTAATAGAGAGAGATTGAGTGAAAGAGATTGAGAGAGAGTTCTTTTGAGACCTTTTTGAGTGTTTGGCTTTGAAACGCAAGGTCCGTAAACCCCGTTAAGCCATGATTTAGTGTCCTACACAATCCCGATGATTGTGCAATAGTGTTTTATCGCTTTGGTTTGTTGTTTAGCACTGTTAAGGCTAAGGAAAATCAAACACATGAATTTTCGAAATGATGTTTTCTCATTAAAATAGCGAATTGTACAGTGATTACATAACGTAAACCCTAACATACAAGGGTTATTGGAGTTGACCGGTTTGACTTGTTGACTTTGTTTGACTTTGACTTGACCGAAATTTGACGGTTGTCACAATCCTAAATCAATAATTGAGAAACATGATGTTAAACTGTTATTTTTTCTCATTATCCATGACCCAGTTCACAATGATATCTTGAAGAAACAATATAATAATTTATCACATATCTAAGTGCCAATTCTTGATAAGATCAGAGTTCGGAAATTGTTGGAAATAGGTGTCCAATGTCATAACGAATTGGTGTAACTTTGGGAATAGTAACAAAGTCCTTTTTGGGTTGCGCTCAAGAGCTAAAATAGTTATAAGATAATTAAAAGAGTGAAATAATTAGTTAATTGATTTGTTACAAGTTAATAAAGTAATTAGAAACTAAATGGAAATTAATTAGGAACTAATCAAAATTAATTGGAGTTAATTTGGGATTAATTAGAATGAATCTGAAGGTATAGGGACTGAATGTTAATTTTTTAATAGTTGAGTAATGTGAACATTATGGATCCCTTATAGTGGTGGATGGTTTTAAGGGCTTCCAGAAAGCTTCTAGAAATCAATCCAAGTAACATATAATGCAAGGATTTAAATCAGAATTAAATCTTAATATTTAATTGATTCAAATCAAGGTTATCTGCTTATCACTACAACTATATAAAGACCCGTCTAGAACTTCATATTTTCGTGCATCTCAACCTCATAAAAGGCTGAAGAATTCAATTCTTAATCTCACATCTCTACTTCCAAGAAGCAACACAAATGTTCGTGATCTTCAAGTGAACTTAACTATATACTATTATACTTGTAAGGTTGGTATTCTACTCTTTTGTTAGTTTATTTTCATAGATTTGAAAGTACATTGCCATTATAGTAAAACCTAGACCTTAGGGTGCATGCACACTTAAGGATATATTTGAATGGTTCTGTTTTCTAAATCTAGTGTATAGTTGTATATAAAATCCATCACAACAAACTCTGCAGCAAAGAGACATGAAAATTAGTAAAAGATGGAAAAATAAGAGGGCCTACGAAGCAAAGTAGCCATCACAAAAAATGAGGTCACATTTTCTAAAGATGAAATTGAAAACATCTTAGATCCTCACCATGATGGATTGGTGATAACCCTATACATTGCAAACCACTATGTTAAAAGAACTATGGTATATGGAGGTAGCGTTGTCAAGATAATCCTTAAATAAACCTTATAGAAGATTTACATCCCATAATCTGAAATCTTACCCAAATCTTCGGTACAAGTCGGATTTAGCGGCGAGACAAAGAACACCCTGGGCGAAATTAAGTTGTCGATCTATGTGGGAGGAATAAACTCAATGCAACTATTATGTATGATGGATTCCCTATCCTTCTACAATGTCATCTTGGGACGACCCTGGATCCATGAAATGAAGGCAGTTCCCTTATTATATCCTTAGTGTGTCAAGATGCCAACACCTTAGGGAGTAATCAAGATCCTTAGAGATCAGCAAGAAGCCAAGAATTATTGCACATGTTCATTGAAATCTTCGAAAACTCCTAAACAATCATAAAAATCAGAAGCACAAAGCACCAAAACTACAAGAGGCAAAGATGTAAACAATGAAAGAAGTACCCATAAACACCCTCAACCTAGAAATCAAGTGCTAATAGGACGAATCTTCCCCAAGATCTCCAGGGAGATCTTTCCTAGCTCACAAAAACGAAACTAATAAGATTTTGTGGCAAATTTCAACCCAAGTAGATCTTTATACTCAAAATTGCCACAAAGGGGCATAATAGCTTTCCAACATAAAAGGAAGTATCCTGCCGAAATCCTAAAAAAAATCCACCTCAAAATCTACTCCAGGCAAGTCAGTAATTTTGACCCGATAAATCCTAAAGAAAAGGTACATATCCATTTACTCATAATTCATTTATATATTTTTACTCTCCAAAACATGGTACTAACTTAAGCATCAAATGGGCGTTGGCTAGGCCAACTCCTACCTCTCACACAATTTTTTTTGTAGACAACTAAATCAAGATTTTACTCAAGATCTTGCCCATAATCTTTGACAGTATTCCCTACGTAGAGACTGATCAACTCTCATATGCTTAAGGTATCAAAATCCTTTTTAAGGTTTAAAGGTATTCAACTTTCATCTGAATTGGGTTTAAACACTTGCTTGAACACACAATATCTTGGAATGGATATAGAACGAGTGGACCAATTTGTTGAAAGGTGTATTGACAATCTCCTTATGACTATCAATATCCTAGATCTAAGAGTAATTTCAATGAAGTAAAATTTTCATGTTATATACACGTTTGGGCATAACCCCAATAATAATTTCAATAGCATAGCATTTTCTTGTTATACACCTATTTGGGAAAAATCCCCAGTAAATCTTGGGAACATCCCCAAAGAATATTGGGAACATCCCCTCTAAATTTGTAGAAATCCTCACTAAATCTCGGGAGTATCCCCAATAAAGCTTAAGTAAACTGCTAAGAAATTTTGACAGGAATCCTCAATATCCTTGCAACATTTTGAGAACTACTATAACTACTTGGGGAATCTTAAGTAAATCCTTAAAGAATTCCAAACAAATCCTAAGAAAGTTTCAAGAATTTGACTAAAGATTCAACTAAGAATTATAGAGGAGTATAAGAAAGAAATCACATGAAGATTACAACAAGGAATAGCGGCTAAAATTTCCCCAAGATTCAGTCAAGATTTGAATCAGGTTCTATCTATCCAAAGTCTATTATTAACTCGTTTAAATTTTTCTTAAGATTTGAAATGTTAGATGACTGTTTCCTTTATACAAAATATCTATTTAAGAAATAAATTCACTTAATCTTATCTAAGCTACTTTAACAAAATATCTATTTAAGAAATAAATTCACTTAAACTTATCTAAGCTACTTTGACAAAATCTTCATTTATAATCATCAAGAATTATTCCTTAACGAGATTTCTTTCGGTTTACTATTTTAAACTACTCCATTTTAATAAATTGATGTCCTTAATCTTAAATCAAAATTTGTATTTTACAGGATTCTCGTCCAAATTTATAACTACAACCATATTCTTAATTAATTGAAAAGATGTTTTGATTTTTGTTTTGATCAATCGATATCAAATCAGATTAAAGAACACGAAGATGTAATAAGATTTGGTTTCAGCTTACTATATTCTAGAATGAATACAAAGAAAGTTTTAGTATAGAAGTGCTCAAGATGTTACAACTCTCTATAGTACTTACCCTATTTAGAGGGTACTCACCGAATAAAAAAATATTAGGACTCGACATTACAATGCTTTTCGATAATATGCCTAGTAAATACATTACATAACGAGTAGATAAGACCACTCGTTATTTACAGACCTCTCAATAACATGATAACAACCTATTCGAAATATCACAACAAAACATGACTCAACATTATCCCCCTTTGTGAGGGTAGTATCTTGATAGTCTATAGCGAAACCTTCCAAATCTCCATGTACCACATAATGATCTTCCTGAATTTCGCTCTATCTTCATTCTCCTTTCTCTGACAGTTGTTGATGTGAAGTAGGATACGGGAAAGATGTTGATTAGAATACATTTCCACATCATCGGTATGAAACAAAAACTTCTTCTTATTCCCCTTCTTCCCTTTTCCAATGAACACAAATCCAAATGGATCATGGAAAATCTCTCCATCTTTGTAATCTTTTAAGTTTATATTTCCTTTCAATAATGTCGTAGGAACTTTTGATTTTTGGTTGAAGAGAGTGGAGAGATCGATATAAATAATTTCCGAATCAGCAAAATAAGCATCCACAAAAGTCTTGATATACCTATATCCATGAATATAAGTAGCTTTGTCTGGAATCTGAGCCTTTCTTATATCACCCATTAATAATGCAGTCGTAACCAAATCATTCACATTCATGAGTGGAAAATCTGCTATCATGAATTCAAATAGCATGTTGTTTGCATGAGCCACCTTGTATCGATAATTCTATAAAATTCCCTCAAATAACAAATCAGGAGTAATCGATATGAATTTGACTATTTTCACTAATGACCACACTTCCTCTTCGTTATTTCCAAGCACTGCATGAAATCGCATTTCATCTTCTTAAATTCCTCATTGTCTTTGTAATTCTCACCAAGTTTAAACTGAGGAAAGACAAACAATGAGTAATTAACTGGAAAATCCAGTTGATTAATGAACGTCAAGCTTTCGATTGTCTCGTAACACCATACTTTATTTAGATCACCTTTGTTGAGACCAGGTGGATCATCTTTCCTCTGCCTCATGATGTTGTTCAATTGCCTCATTCTTTCCAACTCAAGCTCATGTAATCTTTTCTTTTCTTCAACTAAGGGCTCGACACGAACACCCTTCCCTTTGTCTTTGGGATCAGTAGTTGATGTATTCTTAACCACAGCAGAACTCGAACTACCTTCTCTAATACTTATCCATTTCTTATGTAACTTGGATAAGTCGACATTAACATTTGGATTAGTTGTTGTCGTTGTCAATGTTGTCACCACTATTTTCATTGGTATTGAGGTTGGAATTTGAGTAGAAATTACTTTCCCCACAACTTTTCCTTTTTCTTCACCACTCGCCTTCGATAAACAATTCCCCTTTTCTCCCGCTTGCGACACATTCACACAACATGAAGCATTAGTTGGAAGTCGATGGACCAGATCCAGTATAGGTGCCAATTCAGACTTAAAGCGCGATTCAGCTGAAGAAACCATTATCGAGAGTGACTCTTGAGAAATCAAAGATGTTGATTTAAAATCAAACTTCGATAAAGTCTCTTGTAATCCAGTGAGGGACTTCTCAATCTTATCAAATACCTTCACATCTGCTTCATTCTTTAGCTTCAAATCACCATAATAATATTTCTTAAAAGCAGTAATATCCTCCACCAAATGAGTTGTAGCCCCAACCAAGACTTGAACTTTGTCTGTAACAGCATCACAAAATTTATCAAGTTTTTGAACTTCTTTGGAAAATAAGTAACTGAACTCCTTTATCTTCAACTCGATATAATTCTTTGAAGTAGCCACCAACTTCTCGAATATCTCAAGACGCTCACGAGTAGCATCTTGTAATTTCATAATTTCATAACTGAAAGTACGAGAATGAGTAGCCAACATCTCATCAATACTCTTATCGACACCTTCAATTAAAACCTTAGTCCTCGACTCTTCATACTTTAATAGGTATTCGACCTTCACCCCAGTAACAGGTGATTTCCCATCATTATCATTTAAAAATTGAAGAATCGTGTTTAACTTAGAATTGAGAATCTTTAATTGTTTACCAGACATGATAGCATTATTAGGAACATATTCTTCTTCCGGATTAAACTTCAATTTTGTAAACCCAACCATGATATCATCTTCATCATCTTCTTTGTTAACATTCTCCTCAGGTTCTGTTGATTGACATGATAACAAAGTTGCAATAGGCTCATTCATAATGCCTTGAAATGTTGGTGAAACAACTAGAACAGATGTAGGTGGAATGGTAGATGTTTTCGGTGGTGACGAAGTTGGTGGTGGTGCAGCTGAAGTAACGAGTGTTGATGTCGAAATCCCTTCACCTATATGAACATTTGATTATGTATTACAAATGTTCTCAATGATGTTTGAAGTAATAACCTCCTCCATATTGGACTCGGAAATATTAACATCAGGTGGTGTGACTAGAGTGTTCTCAGGGATTAAAGTTATGATAGATCCACCATAATTTATGTTTGTATCCACATCAAATGTGTTCCTAATGACATTAGGAATACGTATCTCCTCAAAATTCGATTTGACATTGGTATCCTTTCATGGTGAATTGTGAAATGTACCAGCTTCCTTCTCTAATGTAGCATCTTCTGTTTCTTCACTATCTCTGTCTGTCGCAACCGTTCATAATGGAGTAGGAGTTTGAGTAGATGGTTCTTCTTTATTCAAAGCTCGAATCTTTTGAATTCGTTGCAAAACACCAACATCTTTTCGCTTCTTCAATTCCTGATCATCAACAACAGGAATTCCCTTAATCACAACCTTTCTTGTTTTTCTCTTCATCTTTATATTTTTAGGTTTCATGAGGACAACCTCTTAAGTAGAATCCCCCTCAGTTGCTTTCTCGATTGGCTTATTAGAACTTACTCCAGTGGACTTCTTAGGAACTTCTTTCGTAACTTTCTTTGAAAGTAGTTTCAAAGACTTTTCAGAAATAGTTTTCGCAGAAGCCTCTTGCTCAACTACTTTAGGCTTTGCTTTAGATTTCCTCTTGGAAACTTGCAAATTAGTAGAAGTACCTTCCTTAAAAGTCACTTTCTTAGGATTTACACCAGAAGAAGTAATATTCAGAGAATTTTTGTAATCCACCAACGTTGAATTCGTAGGTGATACCAGATTAAGCATATCATCGAGAATTTGACCAACCACAGAAAAAATAAGTGGATCATAGATTGTAGATGTAGGAATTAAAATATGAGGATATTGTGCAACCTCAACATCTACAAGAACAAGAACACCTACTTGACTGTAGACTTCTTTCAAAATAAGACTCCAAAATCAAGCATTCAAAATCTCAATGTTCATCTTAGAGTGAAAAATTGAACCAGCAAACTCTTCCCAAAGCAACGATATATAATTGACATTCATACCATAGTATAAACCTGCCATAATTAAGTAGAGCTGAAGCTTTTCTTTATCCATACCAATACTCTGACCAGTCAAACATTAAAACGTAATCCCAAAGAAAAAGTTCCAAACACTTGGAAGATTCTCCTTGTTGAAACTACTAACAAGCATGATTGGAGGTTGATATCCCATCTCATTGAACATCTCGAGTATCTATTCAGTTATAGGAGTTTTGAACTGACCATACGATGGTAATTGAAGAATTTGGGCAAATTGTTTCTCCGTCAGTCGCTTGTTCTTCTCCGATTTCATCTGAAACGTGATAATATCCACTGATTTGTTTTACAAAGAGGTAGAAGCAACAGTGACAACCACTTCATCGGAATAGAAAATGATGGAGATAGAGCATGAGTGAGACAAGAATCCTTCATACATTGAACACAAATTTGTTGTTCTTCAAGATAATTTTCAACCATTGGATCGAACCAAACATTGTTCGATTGAATTTTCATACTTGGCATCGTAATTTCGTCTTCGGTGGTGTTGAATTGATCAATAGTTGTGTTAATTGTCGACATGATGATCGAAGAAATTTGGATTTTGAATGCAGAGAAGAATTAGGGTTCTTGCTTAAATGTCGGGAATTGGAAAGGTTAGAATGAATGATCACCCAATCTTTTATAACCGGCATGAAATTTGAATTCAAAATAATTTCCTATCAGCAAGTTCCATGTTTAAAGTTGGTAGATGAAACGACATCACCCCCTACTGTCACGTGTAAAAGTAATGAGCACTTTTCTCGAGCCACGATAAAGCAACAGTAATGTCCCATCCAACGGCTAATTATGCATTCCCAAAAGAACTAAACTGTCACCCCTTTTCGTTACAAGCCAAGAACCATTCGTCGGTATGGAGGTTGGGCTCATTCACTTATGGGAATTCTAAGTGAAATCATGTGCTAGACTTTGAGAAATCTAGGTCTGAGTTAGTAATACCTATAACCTTGTGGATTTCAGTGCTATTGTATGGCAAATGAAAATATAGAATCAAAAGTATAGAGATGGATCTATTGGGAAGAAATGACTTGGGATTAGTACATTTCACTAAGATCACATAAAAGAAATGAAAATGAGATTTTGAACATTGAAAATGGTAGAGTGAAATATAAGGTTTCATTAAAATCTTGAACAATAAATGACCGTCAATTCATAAAGTCTAGGTTTTTTGGGTCTCACCCTCATCATGGAAAAATGATTTAACCTCATAAACACGGAATTTTGGCATACCTACACCCTGATTGTTTTGACCATAAATGTATTGGGTATGCGTTATTATGTGTGTAAGTGTAAGAAATTTAAGGTGAAAAAGATTGGTTACGAAAATCCATTGTACCTCTGCGAATAATAGGACCATGAAGTCATCTCTTAACTTAAATTGAGAAGAGAAAGGTAGCTCGAGGACTATTTCGAATACAACCTATTGGGAAGAAATTTTCGTAAGAAGAATTTCATTAAGGCTTCATACCCAACGATTCCATGAGGATTTGGACAACATGTTCCAGCATGCTTCTAAGGACTCTTAACCAGTTACGAATTACGAATTGTACCTGATCCTTGTTGATATTTTCATTGGCATGCTTTCAAGCAACATGTTTCACAATGGACTCCCCAATCGAAAGTACAAAATCACAAAGAAAAAAATAATTTTGAAATTTTGAAATTTTATGTAATGAAAAGACAAAAAAATATAGAAAATATTTTTGATGTTTTGATTATGTGAAATAAAAAAAAATCTTTTTGTGTTTTTGACTTTATGAAAGAAAAGATAAAACAAAAAAAAATATTTTTGTATTTTTCACTTTTTATAAAATAAAATATTACGTTTGGTTATCACTCGCTATTGAGAACGAATAGCCTTCTACTCGCAAGCACCAACCCATCGCAATTGGTAACGAGTAGCCTTCTACTCTCAAACTCCTTACGAGTAGTCATCAGGACGCATCATTCATTATTACTCCCCACTAATGTTTTACGAGTAGTCATCAGTACTAGATATTTGTTATTGTTCTCCACTCGCAAATGGATTACGAGTAATCAGCTCCCTAGTCGCTATGACAATCGTTATTTGGCAACATCCGCTGAATGAATCGGAGCGAATGTCGAAAATGATCGGTATCGCATAGCTGAATGTGAACAGTAACCTCTGAATGATATACCATCAATTATGAATTTCTATCAAAATTTCCTAATT